GTGATAGGAGATAAATCCAGATCAAATACTTATCATAAATTTCAAGATATCTGAAGACTTTGGTTGGGTCGATTTGTAGACATAAAAAAAATAAAATAAAATAATAGATTGAGTTGATTTAAATAATTAGCTCAATTAAGTTTATTAAATTGAAGTCTACTAAGACACATAAAAATTGGGAAGAGTTCATAAATTAGGTATTAACTTTAAAAAAATGCAAAAATCAGGTATTTAGTTAATTAATTAAATATATTAAAATCAAAATTATACAATTCGTGGTCACATAGACATACTTACGAGCCACAATTTATTTACTGGTCATATATTATCAAATTAATTATTTTGAGGTCATAAATTAAAAATTTTGTAGGTTACAGATTATTTCGAGGTCACAAATAATTTTTTTTATAGATCACAATTTATTTTATTGATTACAAAAAAAAAAAAAAATTACAGGTCACGATTTCTCTATCGGTCACAGGTTTTCAGATTTGCTAGCCACAAATTACTTTTCGAGTCACAAACTATCAAATTTTAAAGTCACAGTTTAGTACTTGATCACATGTAATCAAGTAATTTGTCACATACACCAAATAGTGGTCACACACCACCGTCACCAACACAACCACCATCGCATGTCTTTGTCGTCGTCGATCCACCACCATCCCTGTCGCTGTCGCCACCACCACCAACGCCACATCACCACTACCAAATCGTCGCTACCAGAACCAGTCAACTACCAACAAAAACCACCACCACTATCGAATCTCCATCCACCACCATCCCCGTCACTGTTGCCACCGCCACCGCCACCAACACCGCCACCAACACAAACAACACATCACCACCACCAAATCGACGCTACCAGATCCACTCAACTACCAACAAAAACCACAACCATCACCACTATCGAATCTCCATCCACCACCACCAACCACCATCAACCACAACCACTATTGCACTACCACTACCACCATTAACAAACCACATCACACCACAACCACCACCCAACAAAAAACCCCAAACCCGTCACTGCTAGCACACCCCCACCCCGTCGCCGCGCTGCCCCAGATCCACCACCACCCCCATTTCCACCAACAGCACAGGCATCACCATACCATAACCATAACCCAACAAAAAAAATCCCAACCCCGACACCGCCAGAACCTTCACCCCCGTCGCCACTACCTAGATCCACCACACCACACCATACCGTACTTGACTGGAGTCAATTTCATAGCAGCCGTCACCGTCGCCTTCGCCGTAGTGAGCAGAGAGATGGATGTCATGAATCGCCGCGATCTATGTATCGGCGAAACCATAGATTTGTACGTAGAGGAGCAGGGGTTTGTTAGATTTGGTGGTGGCGTTGCCGACGACGACCTTCTTTCCGACGGGCGATTTCAGATAGATAGAGAGAAGGAAGAGAGATTGAGTGAATAGTAAGAGAAAATGAGATTGAAAATGAATTAAGGTTTATTTGAAATATTGGTATTATAATATTATTTAAATTAACAAAATATCCAATTAATACCTGATTTTTTATTAAATAAACTTCATACCTGAATTTTGAATTTGGAAGTTTAAGTACTTGGTTTTATGTAATTTCCTCATAAGAATTCAACGGTCCATCTTATTTTTTTCAAAATCTACAATTATTCAATTATTCTTTTTAATTAAAGATATTGGTTACGAATTTACCATATAAATAGAATCAAATGTCCATAAAATTTCACAAGGGAAAGTGCAAAGAAAATCACGAAATGTTGAAAAAAATTCAAAGTAAAATTCAAGTGCCTAACAAGTCAAGGTTTCAACAAATCAAATTTTAAACAAATTTCGAAATCCAAGATTCAAGTCACGTTCGTCTTCAAATATTCAGATCATTAATCAAAAGATCTTAAAGTGATGCAGTCACAAGAAGATTAACATCCATTTATATTTCTTAAAAATACAATTTGTAACTAGTTCTGTAATTTAATACACGAAATTTGCCGTTCAAATTTCTTAGCACGTCCCGTAGGACTTTTTTGTTCTCTCATTTTTTGATCTCAAAATTTTCAAATTTCAATCACTACATCAACAATAGCAAGCAAAAAGACAAAGAAAATTATGAATCATTTTGAAAAGACGTTTGTTGAACTCTTCCATGCGATCAGAGTCCAAACAAAAATTGGGAAAACTCAACTGATTTCGCCCTTGTTTACCCCCCATTATATCTCATGACATTACATTAAATTTTTCTATCTCTTCATCTCAACCATACATTCATCAAATAAAATAATAATACACACAAATCTAAAACTTTTCAACCACACATTTCCCATCAATCACTATTCTAAAAATTTTCAACCCCCTAAAAATCTACAATGATGGGAGCCAAACAGGGGCTTCATAAGTGAGGTAGTTCTCCAACCAAGGTAAAATAAAATTGTTTGGAAGAAGTCGAACTCTCGTACCAAAGTAACGCCCAAAGCCCAGACGCGGGTCAGATGCCATAGCTTCTAAATCTCGTGTCAACCGAAGTTCGTTATAAGAATTCAATTTACACGAACTTCCGATTCCTCAAGCAATTATCACATATGAGTTCTCCCCACGCTACTCCACAAGAACCCAGACATCTCTTAATTGATCACATATTTTAGAATAACCACGCGATTTTTCTCTAATTTCTACAACAGATATTGTCCGCACGCCACTCTATAATTCGATGGTGATCTCCGCACCAGATAAATATACACAAAAAGAGACAGACAAGGAGGTGATATATACAACTAATTTCGTGTATATGTAATCTTCAACTTACACCCTTTTACCTTGTGCATCAATCGTGTTTTCTACATCCTTATTTTAATCGAAATTTGAGAAAAATATGCCGATTCCAGATGAGCCCATGTCGAAAAAGGTGGCAGAATCACCACAGTCGGCGGCAACTCCGGCGACCAGAGATGTGGAGAATCAGACGCTGGGAACCGGTGCCGGAGTTTCGAACATTGTACGGCGCTGGAAGAGAGATGATCTGCTGAAGAGAGGGTCCTTGGGTTTGCGAGGTCTCGGGTTGCTTTTTTCGTTGCTGGCTTTCATTATAATGGTCAGTAATAAGCATGGGGATTGGAAGGAATTTGATAAATACGAAGAATACAGGTACCATAATGTTTATTTATTCTCTTTTACAATACAATTTTATTTCTTTTTGTTCTTGGGTGAGCATTGATTAAGAATCGAGATTTTATTTGGTGTTTTCTTGAATGTGGCTCTCATTACATTTACAGGTATGTATTGGCTATAGCAATTCTGTCATCATTGTACACTGGATTGCAGATTTTGAGGCAGATTCATGAACTCTCCACCGGTATAGAAATTATTTCACGCAAGAATTTGTTGATTGTGGACTTTTTTGGGGATCAGGTTGGTGAATTTCTTGGATTTCCCTGCTATTATTTTGGATTTGCAAATTATAAACCATAATGAAGTAGTTTCTATAAACTGTTGTGTGACTGGGCAGAATAGATGAAAGGGAAGGAATCTTGTGCCATAAATTACTCCTTACAAATTCATGAAACTTTGTGTTAGATTTTGAACATAATCAGTGATTATAAATCCTAGAAAATATTAATGGGAAATTTGATACTATTTCATTCCAATTGAGATTTTGAGTTAGTGGAATTCCTAAGTTCATTATAATATCTTTGTTCTTGTGACTGGTCGTGGGCACGATTTGACAATAAGCGATTTGTTGGCCATCCCTGTCTGAATTTTCCATCCTTCACAACTTCAACCTCTGTTAGTCTCTCGTTGTAGGTGAAACATTTAATGAATCACAAAACAAGATGAAATCAAAATGTCTCAACGTAGTTTTGGTATCTTGAGGACAAAAATGTGGTTTCTGTTTCTTAGCTTATAAATGCAAACCAGAAAATAAACATACTAATATTAATAGCATTACGTTTGATAAGCATTTTCATCCTTTATGCTAGCAATGACATTTCTTATTGAAAAGAATCATTAAAATTGAAAGTTCTGGGATTACAGATTGTGGCATACTTGTTGATATCAGCAGCTTCATCCGCAGTGCCCTTGACTAACAGAATGAGAGAAGGGCAAGATAACATATTTACAGATTCTTCTGCATCAGCAATCAGCATGGAATTCTTTGCCTTCATCTTACTTGCATTGTCAGCTATGATTTCGGGATATAAACTCTCTAACCAATCCTACATCTGATAAGCTCCTATTTTTATGAAATTGTTTGATTGTTTCATTTATCTTCCACTTAAGACATTGTACATTCAAATTCATGTTTATAATAGAAGGCTTTATCAATTTCTCATTGTTTAGTGTCTGTATTAAGATCCTTTACTAGGAGAATTTTCCACGATGTTTAAGCTGTAAAGGTTCTTTTATAAATAATAAAACATTTGCTTTCTCTCTACGCCCTCTCTCTTTCTGCATGCTGCATACATGTTGTGTTTGGACGCTAACCAACGTATGAAATTGAGTAAGTTCTTGGAACTTTTCGTAGATGTGATCTATACATTAATTAAAGATTAAAATGGCGTCGATATTGAGCATGATGTGCCAGGATACCTACTAGCACCAAGTCTTTGTAATACATAAACATAAACATTATTAATTAAAAATGAACCTGTTTATTAATAATTATTACACTGACCCCATAAAGGAAAGTGTAAAAGATGATTATGTTGGTGTAAACAAACAGTAAATGCTCTGTAATAAAGATAAAATATGATTCGAAATTTATTCAAATAATAAGGGGAAAAAATGAAATGTTTGAAATAATATTATACTTCCTTGAGACATTTTCTTAATCCTGTGCTTTTTATTTCGTGGAGCACGAGAACTTTACATGAGGCCATTGTACTATGCTTTAACAGCCCCGGAAGATATGAAAAAATACAGACTCCTAATGTTGAACTACATAACTGACTAATAGAAAACCTTCCCTACTCTGAAATGTTTGTTCTGAACAAATCTTCAGTTTAGAAAAGAGTTGAAAAGAAGCCATCTTTCGGCTCTTCCTTGGCCATAGAGAGAACAGTGTCTGTCTGCTGCATTTGATTAGTGTAGGATCCTGCCGCGTTTCTGAAACCTGAGAAGGCAAAACTGTCTGCATCCTGCAACTTCTGAAGGCTATATGGTGCCTGGTTCTTTGTTTGTGGCAGCCAGGTTGTTTGAAGTGAGTCGGGTCCGTTAGAATGGCTGTTCATGGCTGAAGGCCTAATGACCATGGGTGCATTGTTGCCGTTCATAGATGGTCTAGTGTAGCTGCTGCTACCTCGTGCTGCAGGAACATCGTGGTTGTGTTTTCCTTCGTAAGTAGTGATCACTGCCTTCATATCATGGGATGCTCTCTCTACGTGTTTCCTAACGGGACATCCATTATATGTGCATTTGTAGTAGCTCCTGCATCAATTCAACCACATCATACGTTAGGATTGTGCTAGCGGCAGTTCAAATTGAAAAGTAAGGTTACTGTCTGAATTTTTCTGTACTTGATAATTATTTATGCTTACCTAGGATTTGGGTTGCCCCTAACCACTTTCTGTCCATATTTCCTCCATCTATAACCGTCATCGAGAATATCGATATCGCTTGTGGTTTGAACTACTACTCTAGGTTCGCGAACGGTTCTACTTCCTGGAGCTGGCATGCCCTCATATTCAACACCGCCCTTCCTGGAAAATAGTATAACCTTTTAAGATACTGATTTCATTCAATCAAATGGTTTACTCGTTAAAATGATTTAAGTGCTGCTTACCATCTCTTGGCTTCTGGTTCAGTTTCATTGTCGTATATTGAGTTACTCGGGGCAGATCCATGTTCAAAATCATCATCGCCAAAAGAAACCGATGAATTCTCGGAGGTTGTCAGAGTCTCCATCTGAGCATTTTCATACGATTGATTCGAAATTCCCGCATTATTATATGCAATATTTTGAATCAAACTGGAAGATGATCTTCGTGTCGATTGAGGCTTGGGATGATTATGACTTCCCCTATATACTATTTCAGTAATATGTCCGTCCAAATTTTGCTCAATCTTTTTCTTCATAGGACAATTTGGAAACGAGCATTTGTAATAACTACGAGGATTTTCACTTCCCTTAACTTGCTTCTGTCCATACTTCCTCCAATTGTATCCATCATCAGATTTTTTCTGCTCCCTAACATACTGCGGTTGTTGAGCATTATGCATTTGACTAATCTGCATATTCGAATTGTTCTGATTGTTCTCTTGAGAAAAGCTTGGAATTTGAGCTGATTCAGATTTCACCCCAGCTTTAAGTTCTTCCTGTTGAACTATAATCATCAGCAACACTACAGAAAGAATATATAATCATAATTTATAGCTAGAGAAGAACTGAAACATACTGATGAAGGTCTCGGGTCGGACTGGAAAGAAAAATCGGAGTACTTTCTGCCCTTCTCCTCGGAGGCCAGACCAGCATAAGTCCCAGCAGTTAGAGATGGAAGAACCTACACAAACATATCACCATAGAAATGTTCATTACACGATACATAAATCGGAATAAAGGATAAAGTCAAGAAAATAGATAAATAGACATGTCCCATCAACGTATAAGATGTGCTTACATTAGACGACGAAAACAGTACAGGAGAGTCGAGCAGCACAGAAGGGCTGAAACTAGAATTAACAGCAAGATATGAAGAAGGAGATAGAGGTAGAGGGGATATTGGTAAAGAATTAGGTTGAAATGACTTGTACTTTGGAATTTCAATATCAGAAAGTCCCCAATTGAATGAAGATTTCTCAAAATTCATGTCTTCTTTGTTACCGAGAAGATCAGTGAAAGAAGTCATGTATTCAGTTGAGAAAGATAAGCTACCACCTGAAGAAGCCATTTTTAATGAACTACAGAGGGATTTTGAAGGGGAGAGAGTATATATAAGATTTTGCTTGGACTTGGTTCTAAATTTATTGCTTATATGTTCTACAGCAGAATCCATCGAGAGGTTTTTTCCGAGAAATTCATGAGAGTTTGACCGTGGAACAAAATTGTTGGTCAAACGTTGTGGATTTGACCAATTCTCGATGGTTGAATTAGACAAGGAAGAGATGTTATTCTCTGTGGCTGGGTGCACCTGAACCCTTTGCAATAATGTTTTCAAAAAAAATTCGACATGGGTGTAAGTACGATAATCTACGAGCTTGACAAACATGCCATGAACAATATTTATATTCAATTTGATCTTGATTCAAAAATGATAAGAAATTAAAGATTGAACGATTCAAGTTCGTTCTTGTATTAGCTGATTAGGCTAATATTTTGATCAAGATATGATTTAGAAGTTTAATGGTGTTATCCTACGGTGCTTGTATAGGCCAGCACGCACAATAATTAATTCATATTTTGGGTGGCACCACATGCTAATTTATCCTTCTTCATTTCCATTTTTTGTTTAAAAAAAATTATTTAATTAGTTTGACTCTTTGGCTTCGTGATAAAAAAAGGTTCTCACCAAGTCATAAAATGGAGCGAGAGGGACACGAGGATGCAGTTTGAAAAATCAGATAAAGGTAGTTACGTTATTATTAGAGCCCGTTTGGTAAAGATTAAAATCTAATTAAAATTGAAAATATAGTCGTTATTGGGTCCCACTCGTCTAATAAAAGTCAACAATAACGGCTAGTTTTTCAATTTTAATCTCTACCGAACACGCTCATAATCATCAAAGTAAATCAATTCTCATTTTCAACCACACATTCTTCAATAAAATAATATTTTCCATCACATCAATAATTTTTTCTTCTTTTTCAACCACACATTTCCCATCATATCACTATTCAAAATCAATTTTTTCCCCAAAAATCCCTCCCAAACAAGCTCTTAATTTTTTAGGGTTAATTTCACAAACGGTCACTGAACTTACCTAAAAATTATAAAACGGTCACTGAAGTTTAAAACTTATAGAAACGATCGCTGAAGTTTCATGCGCTTTCACAAATGGTCAATGAAGTTTCATGCGCTTTCATAAACAGTCACTGAACTTACTATTAGAACTGTTATGATGTTAATTCAAACTTAAAAGATTAAAACACGTGGACATAGAAGCTTGAAGACCTCAAGTGCAAATCTGGCTGAGATTCTGCTCAAATTGGCCTAAATTCGACCCCAAAATTTGACAAACGAGGGTTGTAATTTTTGCAATTGATTGAGTACCCAATGTTTTTTGAGCCTGAATTTCAATTCCCCCATATTGATTAGTATCTTGAAACACATCTGAGCCTCCAATTGATGGATGACATTCAGATTCACGCGATCATTCTTGAAGCTAAATCCAAAATTGTTTCTTTTGAATGATAAAATGCAGCAATTGAATCCTTACCCAAGGCCGTTTTATCATGAATTTCATTCTGGTTGGTCCAATTTGTTGATTGGAGCTGTGGAGAAGCATCAATTGAAAGGGGATCAAGTGGTTTGCGATGTGTTCGAGCTACCCCACTGTTAATCGTCGATTCCAGACCAAATTGGGGAAGACCCATGTGCTCAATGGATGCATCAGGAGGAGTAGCTGCCTGAGGTGGTGGTCCGAGATCATGGGTCCCACCACCGACGCTGGAATCAGAAGATGAAGAATGCACAGTGGTAGGCAACGCGAACGGAGCTTTCTGATTTTGATGGAGTTGATTATTTGTTGATTGGAGGCTATGGATAGGGTCGCCTAGAAGAGGAGAATCTACCAGTATATTGGGCTTAACGTGGGTGTCGCCGGAATGTGTACTTTCGACCGTTTTGGGATGGGAATATAATTTGCACTTGAGGTCCTCAAACTTATATGTCCACGTATTTTGGTCCTTTAAGTTTGAATTAACATCATAACAATCTTAACAGTAAGTTCAGTAATCGTTTGTGAAAGCACATGAGATTTCAGTGACCGTTTCTGCAAATTTTAAACTCAGTGACCGTTTTGTAATTTTTAGGTAAGTTTAGTGACAATTTGTGAAATTAACCCTTTTTAATTATTATTAAATTTCTTATCTTTAATCTTTCATGTTGTCTTTGATTATAAATTTTGTTCAACATCTATTAAGAGAAATTTAAAATAAATGACAAATATTTAGTTGAGCTTTTGTATTTTATATTTTTCTGTTTATTTCTAAACATAATTTTTGAACAGAAATCATCATCAAGGACAAAGTGTGCTAATTAATAGAAAGTTAATGATTAAAATACAATGAAAAAAAGTAGACATAAGCATGATAATAAGTAAAAATTAAGTTTTTTTTAATGCAATTTAAAATATGGTGCACATCAAATTCGTAATTGCAGAAAACCTTTTCAGATTTGAGGAAGTAATTAGCCAAGATTTGTAAATTATTATTATTATTATTATTTTTTAATTATTTTGTAAATTTACAAAATTTATATCATTTCTTTAATTGAATATACAAATCTATTAAATTCTTTACACGTTATAATTTTGTGTTGAAACTGTATCGTTTTTACCAAAATAAATAAATAAATAAATAAATAATATGTATTTTCTAATACTATCATTAATCCGAGCTCTAGTTTGTGTTGAATCGAACCGAATTGACCCACTGAAATGTGACACGTGCATGTGCATGTGTTTTGATTAAACTCACTCACCATCATGTAGACAATTCCCAAATTTTGGGTAAATAAACCAAACGCCACAATTCTACTTCCAAATCACAATGGGATAAGTCCCCATTCTTATGTCCTTTCCTTTCTTTTTACAAAGAGAAAGATGATCAGAACATCACAATTTCTTCAATTTTTTTTTTCCTTCATTTCCAACCATTTCTAAAATAAAAAGCTTCTACATTTTACATTTTGTAATTCTATACAAAAAACTTTTAATGGGGAAATGAAATCAAGCCCTTCATTTTCTTCTTATTTTCCAATCATTTTGTGCATATTTAGTACATAGTAGCAAATGCAACTAAACAATATGATGAATAATTTATTTACGTTATTTTTGTTCTTCAATTCTATCTATACATACAAAACTTGTTCTATATGATTATATTTAAAAGAGAAGAAAAACAGTAATGTACAATATCAAGCAAGGGAGTGACTTGAAAGTTAAGATATTAAATGTGTCATGTATTTCCATGCTGCTTAAATGATAATTAACAAATCACAAAATTTTGCTCTTTCTAAACGTACCTGATCTTGATTTTTCACACGGTTATTAGCAGTGGGAGTCGTCCAATGCACATTCTAGTACAAGCACATTAGGAGGCAAAAAGGTGAGCGTCTACAATCGTTATTATTTTGATAAATAAATACTATGAGTCGAAACGTGCATTAATTGGAAGAATGTGTAGTTAAAAATGTGTTTGAAAAAAATGAGTTTTTAAAGAATGAAACTCAAATGCAAGGAGGATGTATAGCTGATATTGGATCTTGTGGAACAGGATATGATTCTGCAAGCGGTTCGGTACGAACGAAGAAATTTCGAACAAAAGGGTCGGAACTCGCTGATAGGAAAGGAGAGAAAAACAAAGCAATGCCAAGAGCTCCGTCAATCCGCTGTTCATCGATAAACGAAGCTCTCTCTTTATCATCTCGTGCCAGATGCAACAAAGGATGAGTCTTTTTTCCTTNGTGGCAAACCTCTCTTGCTGAACCGATTTTGTGAGATGAGTTAGGTCCATAAATTTCTACACCGCGAGCAAGTTTTGCTGCTCATAGAGAAAAGAAATCAGGGAACTAATTTCTCAGGGACAAGACATATTTTGCCGATGAAAGCAGTCAGAATTTCGTGCAGGTGATCCCACAGTAATGTAAAAAACAAAACAACCAGATGATTTTGATTCAAATTGTTCCATAACGAGACCACACACCTTAAATTAAAAGTTTACACTATAAGGGCATGTTTAAACCCGGTACTAGACATGACACTACGCGGACAAGATTTAACTTTTATTTTTCTTCCTCAGATATTGTCTAGTGCTATGCAATCCAGCTAACAAACAAGAGCTAGTCCGGGGATCACCTCGTCTTGCTATACATACGATATCCACTCACTAATATAAGGAAGTTTCAAAAACTCCTCAATTATATTCAGTTTTGAGCTGGAGCTGCTTTCAGGCCGCTCTAAATCATTCACGTCTGAGGAAATATAAGCTTTCTGCTTCATGATGGGATGAGGTGCTTTCATCTAGATCCCTAGCCGAAGATCTTGATACCCTCCTTTCGCTGATTTCTTTTAAGGCTGGATCCCATTATATACAGACATTAAAAGCCAATACTGCAAGCATACAGACAATATGTTCCAGAGTTAGAGATACAAAGCTGATAATGAAGCCTGTGACAACAGGAGCAAACAATTTGCTGATTAAATCGATTCTTCTTAAGATTGAATTCATCTTCATCTGTATCCTGGAGGTTGGCCTTCGGGTATTACAGCAACCCTGTAATTTCATGTAACTATCATTTACTTGTTCGAAAAGTTTAGCCAGGTGATGCAGCGTCACTGGCATTAAAGAAATTGAAACATTCAAGTTCTTGTGTACCGTGAACTTTAATTTCGTCTATGGATGGAAGGAATTACGCCCCATCGATATACTTAGAAGCCTAGGGAAATCTCTTTTTAAACTGGACCAATACATATTGCAGGATATACTCGTCTAGAAGATGGTGAATGATATGAATTATGAACACCATTACTCTGGCGGCTAAATGCCAATTGATTTCAGTGCAGTAGATAATTTCATAAATGAAAAAAAAAAAAATTATATTTAATAAATCCGTAACAATATGAAACTTGATAAAGGAGAAAAACGAGTCACCATTCTCTTTCAATGAAGATGATCCCGGCTAAGTGTAGAAAGCACCAACAGCTCCAGAGACATTGATTAATTTAACAAA